AGAAAAAGTGTGTATAATAACAAGAATGATGCATGTTTGGACGATTACAAGAGCCTACGAGATACGAAAGTGCATCAGGAGAGGGTCAAGCAGAACGTCAAAGAGGTAAGTGCTTCATAAATTGGTTAGGACTTGGAACACTCTGAGGAGTAGTCATATACTAGGATATGTTTAATTCCCCTTCCTTACTATTCTATGCGATCTATCCTTGTATAAGATTATAGAATTTTATTCTGAAGTTCAGCGTAATAGTTAGACATATTTAAATGTCTGTATACAGGGTGTAGACGTTATGATAGCCATTATTTAAATGGGTGGTAGAGGAGGTTAAAAGACATTTTAAAATATCCTTGTATTCTCCTGATCTGGGGCTGGTGCAATAACAACTGAAGCACAACTTCGCGAAAAAAATTTTAATGCGGCTAAAATAATAAATGGGCAACTTCGAGGACCTAGAGTAAGAAGAAACTGTGTTCGTCGTAATGAAGCTTGTGTGGAAAGTGTATGACGATATTTTGAACACCTGCTTTAAATACAAAAAAGTGCAGTGTCGGTTTTAAAAAGGAAAACAATGTATCAAAATTGTGTTCCCTTTTTATAAGTGGATTTTTTTAATACGATTTTTGTTTGCATTTTACGAGTACATTATCAAATAATAAAATAATAACTAAGGGGCCGTTCAAGTATTACGTAAGCAGATTTATTACAATTACATGCTTACGTAAACGTTTGTCAATTAATGTATTGTTTTTTTTAATATTATAATTATAACGTTATAATTATAATTTGAAAAATAAGAAAATAGGTTTAGGATAGAGATTATATTTTACTGATACCGTATTCAACATAGAGTAAAGGACAAAAATATTATATCTTACTAACATAACAAACCTATTTTAAATTTTTGGAACATATATTAAATTCAAATTAACGGTCTTCAGTCCATGAAACCCGAATCCATGATTCTAAGTTTTGGATGACATTGGATTGCTTCATTTGTTGCTCAGTGTTGTGACTTTGCTCGCTTTCATCGGATTTTGGAATGTCTACGTCGTTCTCATCGAGCCATTCAACATCATAGTGCTCTAAATTTTGAATAATGCACATCAGTTCATTAGCACGACGAGCAGCGACTCTTACAGGTCTAACTTTCTCACCACTGTACGTGTTTACTTTTTTTATGGATATTTTCGATGTAACGATTTAGTGACTTGACGGAAGCATGATAAAGACCAAACGTTTTGCATGTTCGACTTGATACCCTCAATTTTACCGTCGGACAAGAATAATCGTAGGGCATTTGCAGGAAATCTTTGAGTGAAGCACTTAAGAGCTAAATTGACTGGAAGATTAAGAAATTGCTCTCCTTCATCCAAAACGAAGTCATCAACTGTTGTTTTACTTTTACAGGTGGTGGAAGAAACCTATTGTCTAGTAATCTAAATAGGCCACTTGTTGTACGACAGCATTCTGTATTTCTACATTTTACAATTTGAAGCAAGTATTGGCTCTCACGCACATTTTCTGAATACCATTTAATATCTAGAAAATCAGGAAGATCTTGTTCACCTGCCCCGACATATTTTGCATTAACATTATAGCCATCAATTTCCATTGAACTCCATACTTCAGCTAATACATTTCCTGCAAATTCGAAATTAGATCTGTCTAAATGTTCATCAATTGTAACACCACGTTCATCCAAATGAGACCCAAAATGGTCATGAGGCAATATTAAACCAGCCAGTTCCCGACTAAGAGGAGCCATTCTGCGCTCTACTCTGTTATACGCACTTCTTCCAGGAGCATTGGTAGCTAAAAACAATGCATCGAGATCATGTCGCTTAAAGTGTTGTATAGCAAACCCTATGACTTTTTGATAACGTGGATTTTCATCTGGCCCTCCGTCAACCGTCATGATTACCACTGGTTTTACTAGTCCATGGTCAGTTTTAGCTAATGGTCGAAACTCTTCAAGTTCGAGAAACGTCTCGAAATCCTGTGCATGAGTATTAGCAGTATATGAACTATGCTCTCCACTTCGAATAGCGATGTATGTTGGTCCAGAATATCCAACGGCTTGCGGTTGTCCTAGCGTATTGGAAGTGACTTTGATACCAGCATAATCAGATGGTATTAATTTATGACGCTCAGCGATTACCCAATATTGATCAGGCAATTTGATTCTATATTCCATGTGCATTAGAAGAGGTGCTTGCTTATTTGCCGCAGTTACGCCAATAGGGACTCGAGCTTTATCGTCTTGAGATATGAAAAATACTTGATCTGGTCCAAGTATGGATGCTATGTTCTCCTCTAAATAATGGATTGATATTTCAGCGAACTTGCTACCTAAGTGGCTCTTGTGGTGATCAGTTTGAGCCCGAATGAGCTTAACAGGGACTGTCGATACATGTCTTCGTCCGTCTGCAGAATTAGATTTTCTGGGAATCAAACGAAGATATGTCCCACTGCGACTAATGTCAAATAGTATTTTACGTAATTCTTGTGTGAGTTCATCAAATAAAGCTATATCCTCGATTATTTTCAATAGTGAATGTTGATTGCTTTCAAGATTAGGACGTCCCACTGAATCCCTCAGAGATAGTCTTTTTTTTTATTTCTAGATTTTCATGACAAATATCTTCTAACTTTCTTTTCATACCATTCCTGTGTTTCTTCTGGGCAACTGCGTTTTGAACCTTCCTGTTTAAAGACTGTTTTGCTGTTTTTATTTCCTCGCGCAACTTAATGATCTGTTTATCAACTTCAGTACGGCTTGGCTTAGTATCTCTGGCAGAATACAAAGCATTCAGATTTTTTTCGAGTAGAGCAATCTTATTTTTCATAGCTTCCTGAGAAGGTTTTGCTCTCTGTTTATGTGTATTTTCATTAATTTCGCATTGCTGTTGTGATTCATTACCGGGTTTTATTTTATCTTCTTCCTCTTTTTTAATATTTGTAGCTGACTGTATAATTTGTGTTTTTTTCTGCAAGTTTACAGGTTGCCTAAAAATAAAAACTTTCTATGGCTTCTGCTAAAGATTCTCTTATTAAGCTACATAAATACAAAGTATGGCAACATATATGGTAAATACAAAACCCCATGGCTTTAAATCTAATACGCTTAAACGAGCAATTCGTTCCGGTCGCAAAATACAGGGTGTTAGCTTTCTGTATATATGTATAAAACTAACATCCGGGACTTTGTGACCAATTGACGGAATCAATCATAAGAAATAAATCTATAATATAATGAATATTACATCTATACTTTGAGATGGGCCATAATATTTTGTAATCAGTAAAGAGAAACTTTTTGGTGATTTCTAATATTTCTAGTACTCATAGGTACCTAAAATGATTTCGTCACTCACCTTAGAAAACAAATTTAGTAGATTGGATTTATTCTTAGTCACCGCTTGCAATTCTCCTTCGATTCTCTTAGATACAATAATATCTAGTTCCTTATCGGATTTTACTTGTAATTTGTAATTTCGCCACACTTCATTAACTAACGTTTGTACATTTTGTACTTTCGTACTTGTACGAGATTTTTTGAAATTTTCAAACAATTTTTGGTAGAACTTGGATTTGTCTATGTGAAACGACATCTTATTTAAACATTAAAGTTTGGCTAATGGAATCAATGGTAACACAAATGTTAACTTGCTTTACTATGCTTACAATACGTCTGCTCGCTATAGTATCCAAACGAAACAATACACTGATAGAGGAAATTTAGACAAGTGAACACCGCGCGGTAATTCCCCTACTCGGTTCTAAAGCGAGTAGGGGAATTACCGCGCGCTGTTTACTAAACGTATGCATTATTTGCGGGAATCCCCGAAAATGCGTTTTGTTTTCAGGCAAAGACAATGTGAGGGTTGCCATTCGTGTAGAAAAGTAAATAACTACCGATGACGTAATCATCATCTAGACTCCCCTACCCCCTATGTCATCCAAAATAAGCAAAGCAAAGACCTCCGCCCCCCCATAGTGCTTACATAATGCTTGAACGGGCTCTAAGAGCCAAAAATAACAAACTCCATCTTTATTTATACTGTGTACCGTCGTAATTTGCGTCTGGCATTGCGGCGTTGTCAGGTTTTATGCACACTCAACAAACTACTGTATCAGCTACTAATATTAGCCCGTGCCAGGTCTTAGTGTAGAACAACAGACGAAAATTATTTTGTACTTGAAGGACACAAAGGAAATTGCACGAAAACACTTGCAATACAACTATTTCCGGTCTCCTCCAACTCCGAAGAAGCTTAGCTCATGCGTACTAGTTTTGAAGTTTTGAAAATTAACGTCATCAACGAAAGCCTTTGATCTTTTGGCGAAAATTTCTGTCGTGTGTCCTCCAGGAAACTGAAACTGTAATTAATAATCGCTTTGATATTTTATACCTCATGCACACCATATACACGTGCATCCTAATAACTTGATTTAACTCGGCAGCTTCATATATGGAAAATTTTCTAAATGTTGCACAAAGATAATATAGAAAAATGAAATTATACTAAGTGACATATAAATCCGAACACCCAGTTTAAATGGTTTTATTTTAATAAAATTTTGTATAAGTACTTAACGAAGCATAATAAGTATAGTCAACGCCAAACAAAGTGGCGTGCACGTCATCAAGGTGGGTGTGTTGAAAAATTTACATTGTTGCCAAACTTTTTGTAAAATAATAAGATTTATTATTTACATATCTAGGTTTATAAGCAATATTAACCTCAAATGAGAACAAAAATAATAGTATAATAAAATTATAGATCTGTACTTGCATAATCATTAAGTATGACAATTATTGATCAGATGACACTATGAAACTACCATATTTAATTGATAGCTTAAAGGTACTGAATAAAAATCCAAATGGGGTCCTCCAAATTTTATGCATGGTATTTATTTTACAGAATTCATACAGAAAAATGCATTCTAAAATTAGGTAAGCTACTGGTGTAAGCTTTTTCTGTACAATAAAGTTAGTCGGAGTTTCTTTCTTCAGCGCTGTCTGAATCTGAATCTTCATCACTCTCAAAGTTGATTATTAAAGGTTCGATGTCTGGTCGATCAAAAATTCGTTCTCTTTCATACCATTTAAAAATTTCTTGCTCAGTATGTCGAACACTATTTTTCCACATGTCTGGGGTAACCGTTTGTAGAGCCTCGTTCCACATATCCAAACAGTCTTTTTCACTGTTACCATCTCTACCAATATGTCTGTTATAGTAACCTTTTGCTATGCCCCAAATTAACTCAATAGGGTTAAATATACAATGGTAAGGAGGCAGACGAAGAACTTTGTGCCCATGTTGTTCCGCCAATTCATCAATCACGTATATTTTAGGTGGTTTGTTTCTAAAAAAGCAGTTATTTTAAGAATAGGAATAAACAAAAGAAATATAAACTGTCGACCAAAATATATATAATTAAGAAGCATTATGTACCGAGCAACAATACTCAATAGCTCTGTTTTAAACATTGTGTTTGAAAATGGTATGTTTTGATTTGTCAACCAGTCTTGGATATTTTTTTTGTCCATGCATTGTTGGGCACTTTGTTCAATATCATGCTGTGATAAGGGGCGTTATCCAGTATAATCATAGATGGACTCTCCAATTTTTCTAATAACTGATGTTGAAACCATTTCAAAAAATTGTCCTGGTTCATCTCTCCATGGTAATCGCTCAATTTTGTTTCCGAAGAAAATATCGCTTCACTACCCTCAATAAACCCATTTTCATTTCCAGCATGTAATATAATGTATCTAAAATATATTAGTTTTAAATTTTATAGTACAAATTGTGTAAAAGTACGTACCTTTTACCATCTGTTTTAATAGCTTTCACGCTTTTTTGGTTTCCATTTTGCCAAGAGCGACCTATGGTCCCATTTTGAAATATCTAAGTTTCATCGAGGAAGACAAACTGGTATAAGGCCTCAACCTTGGCTTGATTGTATTGCCTTAGAAATTCCACCCTTTTCAAAGCTATACTTGGTAGTTCCATGAGCCCTCGTCGCGGATTGTCCTTAAGCCACTTAAATCCAAGATCTCTAAGCAACCGCCTTAAAGACGTGGCACTACCATCAAATAATGCCCTATCTCTTAATCGAGACCATAAAGTTTGTATCGTAACTTGTTCTTCTGAAACCATGTGTAATATGACATTATAATTTAGTTAACAAATTAATGCAAATTTGTGATAAGTTATTATAATAAGATCTTACTTTTGTGATACATATTATAGATCACTTCTCGAATGGTACTTGTATCCAATGTCGCTGTGTTGGTTACACGTTTAATATAACTCCGCTTTTTCTTGGGCGATTCTAAATTTGCATCACTTTTCACACCCTCGGAAATACGACTAACTGTCCTTAAACTAATTTTTAAAGCAGCAGCAACACGCTACAAAAAATGAAATAAAATTTCACTATTATTAATATACATTACATATAATTATTAGTAACCTACCTCTTGAACAGCATTTAAAGGCAACAAAGGCCCGTTGTTGTCCCTTTCTTGCTCAAAGTAGTGCATTAACGAGGCCACGAGTTCCTTACACCGACTATTTAACTGTTTGGGCATCTTTATATACCAAAATTGCCTTTATCTACTCGTAAAATGAATAATTTTGTTTTGAAACAAACAGTTGTTGATTTACAGTATGCGGGGCCAAAGGATTTATAAAGATTTGAAATGCCACAAATTGATTCAGTGTCAAAATTAATACAAATGTCAGTTCCCAGTTTAAATAAGTTTCAAGGTGACAATGTGTCAACGCTGCGAAATCGGTTTAGTGCGTTTACATGTCGATAAGTGATTGGAGCGTTTGCAAAACATTTTATTTCGCATAATGCGTCTAAATTTATTAGAAAGCAACTTATGTGATATTTTAATAACAATGTTTATATGACTATTAACCATAATAAGAGAGTAATGACCATTTTACAATATATATATCACATTAATATGAAACTGCAATAGAGCAATTGTTTGTGATAGAAACCTAGGCATTAGGTCGGGGAATTTTTATCGTGATGACGTGCACGCCACTTTGTTTGGCGTTGACTATAAATGATAAGAATTTCAAAATGATTGCACTGCTTTAAAGCCCTTTGACCTTCAATAATGTGTGGATGGACCCTGATGTGCTACGCATTCTCCAACGCGCCTAGGCATGCTTCTGATCAGGTGGTCAATGACCTCCTGTGGTATCTCATTCCAGGCAACCACCAACTCCTCTCGAAGTGCTTCTAGAGTCTGAGGAGGACGTTGCAAATTGAGAAATCTCCTACCCATCATATCCCACACGTGCTCAATTGGGGATAAGTCGGGAGATCTTGGCGGCCATGGTAACAATGTGACATCATTATGTTGAAAGAAGTCTATTGTGACTCTTGCAACATGTGGTCGGGCATTATCTTATTGGAAAGTTGGATCTGCCAGGGTGTCAAGATAGGGTAAAAGATGGGGTTCTAGAACTTCGTGGATATAATTCTGTGCGTTCATGTTGCCTCTGATGAAGATTAAAGGTGACCTGGAACCATAAGCTATAGCACCCCAAACCATAACTCCAACAGTGTGATGAACATGTCTTTCAACAAAAAACTGTGGATTCCTCCTTTCACCACGTCGCCTTCTAACCCTGGCACGACCATCGTGCATGCCTAAAGAAAATCGAGACTCGTCACTAAAGACAATACTGTTCCATTCCTGATCCCAGAGTGACCGTTGTCTGCACCACTCAAGGCGATTACGTCGGTGTTCTCGAGTTAAAGGGAGGACCCGGTGTGGCCGGTATGAAAACAAGCCAAAACTTCTCATTCGTCGATAAACACTTCGCATGCCAATAGGTCTTCCGTGTTCTGCAAACCATTCATTTGCAATGGACCTGGTAGTGGAGAAACGGTCCCTTAAGGCCAATAATCTTAGGCGGCGATCTTCACGGTCTGTTGTTCTACGGCGGCGTCCAGTGCCCCTTGCTCTTTGCCTACGGCCTTCTCGAAGCCATGCCTGACAACACCTAAGCACAGTGTCTACACTTCTTTGCACTCTAACTGCAATTGCCCGAAAAGAAAGTCCAGCTTCCCGAAGTCCCACTGTACGGCCCCTATCAAACTCACTAAGTTGACGAAATCGTACAGGTCTCCATACTCTAGGCATCGTAACCGATCGTAAAGGATGTCAAGAACCAAAATCGGCCAACGTTGATTCTTTACTGCGGCTGAAATATTCATTTTTAGAGCGTTAGTGAATTAAAAAAAAGCAGTATAAAAACCGGAATGTCCAACTGATAAGGCTGAAAATTTTTTCACTTGTTATTTACAGTAAGATAAATACATTCACCAACTTTTATTAAAATAAAGCTATTTAAACTTTGTGTTCGGATTTATATGTTACTTAGTATATTAAGTCTTACAGCTAGCACTGAATGCCTAGTGTTAAAATGTCCTGTAACAGCATTTCCTGCGACCTGAAGTGATCCGAAAGTTGAAGAGAGGAACAATAGGGCCGAGTTTCTCAAATTGATCCTCTAAAAAATATCTTTGAAGATGCTCAAATTCTAATAAAAATAAGTTATAAGGCTGACCTACTCTTTTAACTATAGACCTCTATCTATACTTTCTGTTATAAGTAAGCGAGTAAACCTATCCGGTCTGAAAAGGCTTCGAAATAAAGCTCTCCCTAATAAAAATAAGTTATAAGGATGACATACTCTTTTAACTATAGACCTCTATCTCTACTTTCTGTTATAAGTAAGCGAGTAAACCTATCCGGTCTGAAAACGCTTCGAAATGATGCTCTTTCTCGTTTTAGACGAACGCACCAACCTGGTCATCGAGACTACTATGAACAATTAAGAAACCTGATCACCTCTGCTTTTAGAGCCGAAAAAAAGGCATATCTAAATTTAAAGTTTCAGAATTGCTCAGAAAAGGAAAAATGGGCTGAACTAAAAAAACTAAATATACTTAGAAATAAAAACAAATACATCCCTGACCATTTAAGGAAAGCATAGCGTTCACATTCAACTGAGTCACAGAAGTCATTAATAAATATCAAAACCAGTAATGGTCCCAGGTTGGACCCGTGAGGAACTCCAGAAGGTGCCAAGTAGGTCTCAGATTGGAAGCCATTATAGCTAACAAATTGTCTACGATCGGATAAGTAAGATTTCATCAACTCCCTAGCATCATCTGTGAAACCAAGTGCACCTAACCTATTTAATAAAGTTTTGTGGTTAATTTTATCGAAAGCCTTCGAAAAGTCGGTATAAATAACGTCAACTTGCTCATTACTATCAATGGCTTCCGAGAGGTACTGCGTTATTATAAATAGATTTGTGGTTGTTGAGCGATTAGCGAGAAATCCGTGTTGATGCAATGACAGCTGACGCTGGACGGCAGTGTGAATGCGACTGTACAAGACTATTTCAAAGACTTTCGAGAACATGCATAATATCGAGATTGCCCTGTAATTCTCAATATTTGACTTATGCCCACACTTAAACACTGGACAGACCTTAGCGATCTTCCAAATATCTGGAAATCTTTTTGTTATAAGACAAATGTTAAAAATCCTAGTTAGAACACCAACACTTCCACACAATCTTTGACTATAAAGGACGGGATGCCATCTAGACCAGATGTCAACTTATCCTTTAGTGATTTAATGGCCTTCCTGACTTCATTTTCCTCAATTGGATGAAAATGGACAAATAAATTACTATGATTTAGTGAGGCATTATTATGGGGCTTGTGAGTGACATAGACGCTGCTGAAAAACTCAGTGAATGCGTTTACTATATCCTGAGGCTCATCTATAGAATTATTTTGAAATTTCATTATCCCTGGGATTCGTGATGCGCTGTTTTTGGAGTGAATGTATGACCAAAAAGCATTGGGGTTAATTGTTGCAAAGATGGGGTTTTCCTTTTCAGCAACAACTACCCTTGAAATAACAAAGGTAATGGTAGTGAAATGAGGGCGACCAAGTAAAAAAAAAATAAAGGAAAAAGTACTCACTCTCCAGTTGACGAGAAGGGCTAAGTACGTCTCTGCCCGAAATCATACCGCTCCAACAGAAAATGAAATCAGCTGATGCGCTACCGAGCAGACGCAGGCAAACAAGGAAGGCAAAATGTTGGGTAAAAAGTCTAGGTATTGCATCCCGTCCAATCGATTTGGGAGAATAAATGGTCCAATGAGCATACCGTTCACCATGCCAGCCCAAACATTCACCGAAAATGTTTGTTGAAAATGTGCCCGACGGACAGCGTGCGGATTTTCTACTGACCAAACATGAGTGTTGCGAAAGTTATTCACCCCATTACGCGTGAACGTAGATTCGTCTGTCGCCAATATGCACTTCAAAAAGTCCGGATTATTGTCATGTTGATGCAACAACCACTGACAAAACCGCACTCTTGCTGGAAAATCGTCAGGTTGAAAGGCTTGTACACGTTGGACTTGAAACGGATACAGCCCCTCTTCACGCAGCGTTTGCACTTCTCTAGCCATGTCTCTAGTGCTTGTTGAGGGATTCTCGTCTACGCGATTACCTCTAGACGCGTGACCGTAACCGTCGGTTGAAGGTTGCATACTGACCTGACACACTGACCCCGACCCAGTTCTGTCGTCGGGTTGAGCTAGTGTCCTAGTACCAGTCGGGGATGTCGCGGCTACAGGACGGTATTCAGATATTTTTGATGTTGCAGAGCCCTTTATCTCGGTTCCCTTAAGACATTGGTGTATATGGTACTAAGAAAAATTGCTTATGTTTTCAAGATCTACACGTCGTGTAAAGGAAAACCCCAACTTTGCGGACACCCTGTATTGATCATACGCCGATTTAATCTGGTTTTTTATCAAGCGGCGCAAACGTTTAACCAACATTGTAACGCGTTTTTGAGATAGCAAAGTCCATCTTGGACACACTGCATACTGAATTATTAGTTCCAGATACATAGATTTAGCGCTGGCACTTCACTACTGAATGAAATTCAAATTACGCTAGGCCAGTTTATTATTTTATTTATTATTGTGTTGTGCATATGTACGGAAACTTTCCAACAAGGTCGAGGTCTCTTGCACGAGCGCACTTTGATAAAATCTATGACGATAAAAGTATCTTATTCCAACGCATATTGTAGTTAGTTGATAGAACAATATTAAAATAGTGGAAATGTCAGCAACTAGCCAATATTCGTGTTCAGAACTTATACCTCTGAAAGTGATTGAAAATGTCAACGAATCGGTAGAAATAGAAAATACATTGTTATCAATTAAGATAAAAAGCAACAGTGACTCACTTATTTACACTTGCACTTCACAAGTGTCGGATAAATTTAAAAGGTCCGCGTCGAAAGGCAATACAAAAAATCAAAAATCGGACTCTAGCCTAATAACTGCCAACAGCAACCATAGTTCGTTTTTGAATAAAGTCGAATGTATGAGGAAGACCAGAGCGTACCGGGAGAGGATCAAAGGAAACATCAACGAGGTATGAGCATTTCATTCATATTTACACCGCTTGGGTCTGTTTATAGACGCTCTGCCAACAATGAGTGAATGAAATATTCTAGATTGCGTAGTAGTGTATTTTTAGGTTTTATAAAAATTTATATCATTTGCGCGTTTTACATAATCAGTTGATAACTTTTCCCTTCTATTATTAGTACACACAGAGAATTATATCCTTCCATTTCCAAAATCGCCCAGAAAACAAGCAAACTGATGGAATTTTTTAAAGAAACATATATACTAAGTGACATATAAATCCGAACACCCAGTTTAAATGGTTTTATTTTAATAAAAGTTGGTGAATGTATTTATCTTACTGTAAATAACAAGTGAAAAAATTTTCAGTTGGACATTCCGGTTTTTATACTACTTTTTTTTAATTCACTAACGCTCTAAAAATGAAAATTTCAGCCGCAGTAAAGAATCAACGTTGGCGGATTTTGGTTCTTGACATCCTTTACGATCGGTTACGATGCCTAGATTACGGAGACCTGTACGATTTCGTCAACTTAGTGAGTTTGATAGGGGCCGTATAGTGGGACTTCGGGAAGCTGGACTTTCTTTTCGGGCAATTGCAGTTAGAGTGCAAAGAAGTGTAGACACTGTGGTTAGGTGTTGTCAGGCATGGCTTCGAGAAGGCCGTACGCAAAGAGCAAGGGGCACTGGACGCCGCCGTAGAACAACAGACCGTGAAGATCGCCGCCTAAGATTATTGGCCTTAAGGGACCGTTTCTCCACTACCAGGTCCATTGCAAATGAATTGTTTGCAGAATACGGAAGACCTATTGGCATGCGAAGTGTTTACCGACGAATGAGAAGTTTTGGCTTGTTATCATACCGGCCACACT